GGGGGGGGGGGGGGGGGGGGGAGGAGGAGACAATTTTAGAGAGGAAAATGTCTTCCGTTGCTACCCGGATTCGAACCAGGGACCTTTGAATGAGAAGCGAACACCTTAATCTCTAGGCCACGAGAGCCCCATGTATGACTCTGGGTTTTTTCTCCCTCACTTGCGTCCTGTAGCTCCCCTTCCCTTTTACCTCCTGCTCCTTCCTCGACGCCCCTTCTCCTTCTTTCCTTCCTCATCACGTTTTCTTTCTATTCCCCCCTTTCTATCTAAACAACCCCCCTCTATTCACCCCTCATCCCCGGGTCCCCTGTTCTTTTAATCATATCCTATATCTATCTATCTATCTTGACAAACGCGATGCGAACATTGACCTGATTTGTACCTCCCACAAAATCAAACAACGCAGCACAGAGCGGACACAGACTAATTAAATAATAGCATCAACGCCACAGTAATTATACGTCAAAATGATTGCGTGCCCTGCTAGACCTTTGGGTCAACGACCTCTGCTGCTGACCGTCTGCGCTCCACATTGAAAACTGTGATTTGGGCAATGTTGATACTGAAATGAAATTAGAGGCTGAAAAGTAGGTGGGAGAAAGCCATTTACTTCTTCATTTGACCTTATGCAGCTGCGAGCGCCGTAAAACACTTTTAAAAACAAAACAAAAAAGAAACAACGGCCTACGACATCAAATGAACAGGTCACCGCATGGAGAGAGCCATTCTGTTGTCCAGAGATCGGGGATTTTCTCAGCCCGTGGTTCTGACCTCAGTTCTGAGAGCCGGACAGCGGGTGATCTGGAGAGTCCCGCGAAGTGCACAAGAATCGGAGACGTCTCCGGCGAGCACCCTTTGGTGGTCCAAAATCGATAAGAGAAGGCTCCGGCCGCCACCCGGGCAAAAATCAAAATTTCCGTAAAACACTTACCAAAAAATAAATAAAGACGTCTGTGGTGGGACAGTTGGGCGCTTCGCCGCAGCACGCAGGAGTTCGATTATCAAGTGGGAAGAATTTTTATTTCGTCCCTAGGTCTTTCTTAATAATAATAATAATAAACAGCATTTGTATAGCGCATACCCCCGCTCAACAGCAAGCTCTATGCGCTTCACACTATATCATTACCCCAGCAGACCATAGAACACTCCGAAACATTCTCAATTTCCCGGGAAGCATACAGTGCAAGCAGCTGATTAAGCTCTCAAACACTAACAAACTGACAAGATCTTTCGCGGTCTATAGCCGGGTATCCATTCCCACCCGGGTGAAGTGAGGAAAATCGGTGTAAAGTGCCTTTCCCAAGGACACAACGTCGGGCCCCTGACGGGATTCGAACCCACGACCTTACGGTTGTGAGTCTGAGAGCCTAACCACTAGGCCACCGGCGCCACTTGGTCTCAGCCTGGGTTGGCCCTGACAGGCAGAGTCGAGGCCGTCAACGGTCCAAATTGTGTCGATGGGGAGGCAAAACACCTACATTTTTAAAGAAACAAAAGCAAACAAACAAGCAAACAATTAAACAAACAAACAAACAAACAATTAAAGAGACAAAGAAGCAAAAAAGAAAAGACATCAGGCCTGTACTTACGTCATCCAGAGCACGAAGAGTTTTCATCCTTTACTTTCTCCTCTCTCTTTGATGTCGGAAGTCACCGAGTTCCCACTTCCTGTTCAGGATCTGACGTCATGAGTAAGGACTCGTGGGGAAGTCGTTCTTTGATCTATTTTTTCCCTCCCCGCCGACTTTCCAGGGCGGTCGTCAGGGCTGTGGCCAGAACCAAGATTTTTCTTACCTTGTCACACCTTGTCCTCAGTGTAGGGGTCACTACAGTTGGAACATGTCCATCTCTCCCTCTCCTCCACCC